CAAAGAGCATGTCTCCAGTTACTTGGACCATGAAGAATGAATCTGTAAAAAAATGATCATTTGAAGCTTCAAATGCCCTTTTGACTACTTTTCTTTTATACGTAGTTTTAAAAATAACAAATGCGATCATTTAAAACAGTGGTTCTCAACCTCAGTCATCACATACCTCCAACAGGTCATTTTTTGCAAGATTTCCTCTACATTGCACATCTGCTTTAAATCAGTGTCAATGACTTGGTATTCATGAGCTTATTTATCTAAGGGAAATGATCAAAACATGGCTCCTTGGGGGTACTTGAGGTCTAAGGCTGGGAACCACTGATTTAAAGGTTGGCAGATAGGTTTGTTCTATTGGTTAACACTTTTTGTAGTTAGTGATTTTTTTTTTTTTATTGCAGTCTATTCATTAGGCCAAAACCAGGAAGACTGAGGAGGATAGAGGAACAGAGGAATTTGGTTCCAAAAGAGAAACAATCCCTCTAAATGTTGGGAGCTGTGTGGCAGGAACATTAGACTGTAACCTCTGCTGGAGCATAGGAGTGATGGAAATAATTCAGTGGGCTCCTGCATAATGTAAAAGGCTGTTTATACTGTAAATGCCTGATGTATGGAACCACATTGGGCCTCTTGGCTATTTGTTTTGGTAGAACTTTCTTTGTTGTCTACAAAATAAGTTATTGCTTCCCTTTTCTGTAGGTTGGAAAATGGCAAGCTGGAAATTATGTGCAAAATGAATTAGAAGTGAAAAGGCTGCTAGGATAATCATTTTACTGCTTTCACAATAAAATCTGGCCACATTCTAAGGCTTCACTTTTTAGAGCTGAACTCCAGCTTTACCTTCAGCCTTGCACAGATGCACAGGTTCCTCACCAGTACCGAAATTGTTACTCTGATTTCACTACATACTGTAAGCCTCTCCCAGTGTGCATTAGAATCTGTAGCAAGTCACATACAGCCTGCCTCATTTTCTTGGCTGGAGGACATCCAGAATCATGCAGCCATTTCTTCCCCAGCTTGACTACCCCTGGCCTGCCACTTTCATTCATTGGAGTTCAGTTCTTTCAATCATGGTGGCTTAGCATCACATGTAGGCATTACCTAGGATTGTCTGCATACAGATGCAGCTTTCCTAAGAATGCACCAGACTTACATGCATCCATCTAGGCATTTTGCTGTTTTTATAACACCTTCCACGAGCCATATCACTGCTTGCATCAGGAGCTCTTGGGAGGAGTACTGAGGTTGGGTGCTGCAATGTTTTCAGGAAGCTATGTACAGGACCCTGCAGGCCCCTCCCACTATACCTAAACTGTATATATTGCTGAGAGAGAAGCACAGAGACATAGTGAAAATGTCATTAGGTCTAAAATGAGGTATGCCATGAAAACAGAAAGGTTTTAGATTAGCATGTTGATGAAGGGGGAAAGGAGAAACCCAAGAAGACAAAATATACTTCAACTTTAACTGCATGCCATCCTCTGCTTATTATTGCTTTTTCTGATTCAAGTATTACCTGAGAAATGTGTGTTTTGTAAGGATTTGGAAGCACACAAGAAATAACTAAAATATCTGTTTGGCTTGTTGGAAATTGTCTGCAAAGGGAATAAGCCTTCACCTTGTATCCATATACAAGTCAGGCAGTTTGGGAGATAGGTTGCAGCAGAGTCTAGTGGCAAATCTTTAAACATCGCTCTTTCTTGGTGAGTGTTTTTTGTATGTATGGCCACCCAAGAACTGTGTTTTTGTGTACAGTATGTATATGTGCTTTCTCATACACTTGCTCTTTGCCTCGGCTTCTCGCCAGTGCCTTGCTCACTTGATCCTCAATTGTCGGACAGGCCTCTGCCAAGAGCTCAGCTTCTATGACATAAAGTAAAAGCACACCTTGCATCCCCGCCAAGAGACTTTGTACAGAATATTTAGTCACATAGCAACAATAATAAACAGTTTTTCTCTCGACAAGACCAGTCACACAGCATAAAACAAATGAATGGCCGCCCCAGTGCTTCGCTCTGCTACAAACATCTATAGAAAATTATAGCCTGCGGGAAGATTCCTTCCTCAGCCTCATTCATCATTTTACTCTCTTGGTTTACCAGGAAAATGTTATCTTTACCGGCAATAAAGGGTTTCAGGAATGAGGACACGTGCTAATCTAAATGATGGGTGTGTAAACATGTCTCTACTGTCATGGAGGTTACTTAGAATACTTGTGATTGCAGTCCAGTCCAGCGCAGGATTTTGTCATTGTTTGGCTTGTTATACATGACCATCGTTGGTTTGTAGAAAAAAAACCTGATGTGCATTGGAGAAAAAGTGTAAAAACTCTATGAGCGGTGTTTTCAAATACTTAGGGCTCGTTCACACTAGCAGTTTCAAGGGCGGTAAGACTCTGTGGTGGAGCCTCACTTTTACAGCCCCTTAACTGTTACCTCCTTTAGCTGCAAAGGCATCTGCTGTGCTTTGTGATTGCTGCAGGAATTATACCTTCTGGATCATTTTGGCAGGTAATACTGCCCTCCGAATGCGACCCATTCAGGTGCCCCCCCCAACTGCAATGTGTGCACACAGTTGTGGTGCACTGGTGTGGGAATAAATGGGTTAAAGCAGGCAGTGAGGATGCGTTGTATCGCTTGTATAGCAAAGCTAGTATGAACGAGCTCTAAAAGAATATTTTGCTCCTTCTCCAACAATCTGCTCCCCCCCATCCCACCTATGACAGCTAGCGGGGGATCTTCTCCCCCTCACTAGCTATCAAATTTTAACAAAATGTGGCCGTGGGGGGCTCCACCCGCCCAGCTGCGTCACTCATTCACAGCATTCTGTGAATGAGCAACTACAAGTCCAGACAGCCTCAGCTTGTAGTCCTCAATGAACTACCATGGCGCTGTGGAGCACCGTGGTAGTTGTTTGATTCTTCCTGTCAGTATATCTACTTGCTCGTTCTTCCCATTCGCAAACAGATATTCTGACAGGTCAGGATCTGCATAGCACCAGTGATATGCTAATCTCAGGTGCAATGGTTTCCAGGCTCCTGCAGACAAAAATAATAAATGTAAATTTTTTTACCTGTGAAAAAATTTGTATTTATTATTTTTGTTGAAAACTTATCCTTAAACTCAAAAAGTACATTCCATTGCTCTCAGCTTCCTCCAAATCTCCAAATTCAATTTTTTTTTTTTCTGCTGTGATTTGACTTCCTTTTAGAGGATGGCTACATTTGTTCTCCATGGTCCCACTCAATGTAGGAACGTAGCCACCCTCTCCTGCTCACTCCCACAATTGTTTTTGGACTATGGATTATGGGATTTCTCAACTCATAGAAGTACCTTCTATTGCTCTCAGCCTCCTCCAAATTCCTTTTTTTGCTGCTTTGAGTAAACTTCCTGCCACGTTTGTTCTCCATGGTCCCACTGTATGTAGGAGCATAGCCACCCTCTCATACTGGATGTTGAGATGGACTAGGAACTGTGGACTTTGGGATGTGTAGTGTGTATAGAGCAGTACTGCGACTAACGTGCACTGCTCCTTACTAACAAAAGTGAGGGGGGGTGAGAACTTTAAGATGTCACATGGAGGCACACAAACAAAGTAAGAAACTATTTTAAAAAAAATTGATTACAGGCCATTAAGTAGTGGATGTTTTTGGATTATTTTTGGAGAATAAGGATATTGTTTAGTGTCACTATAACTTTGAGCTTTAAACAAAACCTGTGAGCATTCTGTGACCCGTATTACACTGTAGACATTTCCAGGTCCCTACAATATGCTCCTGATGGCCTGCAGAGCTCTTACGTGCAAACAGTTACCAACTTCTATAATTGCTTTCTCTGGCCAACATCTTGCACTTATCTGTTCTTTAGGGAGGCTGCCCATTCAACCACTTGCTGGGCACTGGATGGGTGAGCCAGAGCAAGCTAATATGGAAGCTGGCCACCATATGCATAGCAGAACACCCCAGTTTTCTGGAGTCCATGCAGTACTCTGCAAGATATTTCTGATGGCATGCTGACACCTGGCGATACCTGCTATTTAATAAAAGCCATGTGCAGTTCTGCTTCCTAGCCACAATTTTACTCTGATGTGCACAGCAACAGATCATTCCTGAGCTGACTTTACATAAAATGTAAAGAGTATGTTACCCCAACATTTCATATTCTTGACATGTGTCTGTTGTACTATGTACTTGTACTGTGTTAAAAATGATCCTGTTCTCCTTGTATTGCTTGCTTTGTGTGAAATACCTGTTGATCCTACAAGTCCCTCTGCTCTCCTATTTCAAACTGACCACACTAGGCATGGAAGCACATTTATCTTGGCATGGTCAGTTTTCTGGCTTCCCTGGGAGCATAGCTTGCCTGTCCTCCAATGATCAGACTGCTAACACAGGCACTGATAGCACAGCGGTCAGTGATCTGTAGTTAATTTACTCTGAAAGACCAATCAGATCACAACTTTCATTAATTTGGAGACAGAGCAATGAAACATGACTAATGAAAAGTTTAGTATGTGTTCTTTAAACTATGCCTGCACCTGTTCCTTCTGTTCTTACCCAAGGGGAAACTTCAGTAGCTTTGGGTTTTAGTTTTTATGTAGAAAGGTATTTTGTATAGCTTTTAGTTTATCATTTTACTTTTACAAAGAAAATATTTGTGAAACTGTATATGCAGTGATGTTGAGCAGGGGGGAATGGAATAGATTAGTGGAATGGAATAGACATGACTCCTCTGATTCAATTGTTTATATAATTTGAGCTTTGTAATTTGAGCAGATTTTTTTTCAGTAAAGCAGTTAATGTTATCCTGGTAATCATGTGAAAAAGAGTCAAGTTCTCCACCTGCTGCATAAAAATAGTAAAATCTGAACTGTTCATATTTAAAACGTCCTATGTACCTAACACAAATAAAACACATTGAAAACAATTGTATTTGTAGTCCTCAACATGAAAAATAAATGTGCATTCCCTTTATGAACATGTTGAATGTTCTTTCTGACACCAGATCATCAGGGAAGTGACAGCGCAGACTTGAGCTCATCTGAGAGTCCTGAGAGAATGATCACACATGAAACTAGTGCTGCCATGTCTGGATGCCTGGAATCCACATCTGACAGAATTGGACGCAAAGCAAAATCTCTGTCCTTTACTGATCCTGCCAGCAGTGGAACAAGCACATCAGCTACAGAGAATGACGATGACAAAGCAAAGAAATTACTGTACTGTGCCCTCTGCAAGGTGTCTGTAAACTCACTGTCACAACTGGAGGCCCACAATAAAGGTAAGGCCAGGAGTATGATAAACTATGACTATCCTTGTCAGCTCAATGCTCATATAGTAAGGACTGATAACATACTTCCTTAACATCTACTATAGGAAGGAGAAAAATAGAAACATCATATGCAACATGTGTGGCCAACGTAGAGTTTTCCAACAGCTATGCATTAAATGATCCATTTAAAGTAGAACTTTACAATAAATAAAAACAAAATTGCTGGCGGGATGGCTTTTTATTGCAGAAGAGGCATACTATGTCCCATCTGCAGTAAAAGCGTCTTACCTTCCTGCTAGCACACTGAGATGAGCCTGCCTTGGTGCCATGATAATTGAACTCCAGTGTGCCTATGTGGAAGTTATGTCACTCGGGATCTGCAAACCAGGATTACCAAAGACAACAGGAGATTGCAGACTTTAGTACTGCTTTCACTTAATTTTTTTCTGATAGGTCCTTATACTACATAGCAGTGCTTGTACAGACTATAGCGTGTGGCCTTTTTGAACATTCCTCTGGTCACACTTTACACCTTACAGATAGCTAGGCAAGAAATATCCATACTTTCAAATAACCAGGCATGGAAGATCCATACTTACAAATAACCAGGCATGAAAGATCCATACTTACAAATAACCAGGCATGGAAGATCCATACTTACAAATAACCAGGCATGGAAGATCCATACTTACAAATAACCAGGCATGAAAGATCCATACTTACAAATAACCAGGCATGGAAGATCCATACTTACAAATAACCAGGCATGGAAGATCCATACTTACAAATAACCAGGCATGAAAGATCCATACTTAAAAATAACCAGGCATGAATGATCCATACTTTCAATTAGTCAGGCAAGGAAGATCTATACTTTCAGAGAGCCAGACAAGAAAGATCCATACTTTCAGATAATCAGGCAAGGAAGATCCATACTTTCCTATAGCCAGGCAAGGAAGATCCATACTTTCCTATAGCAGGCAAGGAAGATCCATACTTTCCTTTAGCCAGGCAAGGGAGATTCATACTTTCTTATAGTCAGGCAAAAGGATGATACATACTTACAGTTAGCCAGGCAAGGAAGATCCATACTTTCAGAGAGTCAAGCAAGGAAGATCCATACTTTCAGATAACCAGGCAAGGAAGATCCAAACTTTCATATAACCAGACAAGAAAGATCCATACCTACAGATAACCAGGCAAGGAAGATCCATACTTCCAGATAGCCAGCCATGGATGATCCATACCTACAGATAACCAGGCAAGGAAGAACTATACCTAAAGGTAGCCAGGCAAGGAAGATCTATATTTTCAGATAACCAGACAAGAAAGATCCATACCTACAGATAACCAGGCAAGGAAGATCCACACTTCCAGATAGCCAGCCATGGAAGATCCATACTTTGAAAGAGCCAGGCAAGAAAGATCCATACTTTCAGACAACCAGACAAGAAAGATCCATACCTACAGATAGCCAGGCAAGGATAATCCATACTCAAATATAATATATTGTAACTGGCACCCACAGTGGTATTTCAGAGAGATAACATCAATTTAAAAAAATGAACACCAAGACCCCTAATACAGAAAAATAGTTTTTTTTTAATAAATTGAAGTATATTCTAGTGAAAATGATAAAATAAAGTAGATTACTGGAAAATAGCTCCATATCTTTTTACATTCAAACTCTGCCATAAATCTAGAAGTGACATGAAACATTTTTCTACCTCAGTCCTAAGTCTCTACACAACTGTACTTATATAGCATACAGTGAAGGAAATAAGTCTTTGATCCCCTGCAGATTTTGAATGTTTACCCACTCACAAAGAAATGATCAGTCTAAAAATCGAATGGTAGGTGTATTGTAACACTGAGAGACAAAATAACAACACAAACTTCAAAAGAAATGCATTTCTAACAAATTATGCACTAATTTGCATGTTCATGAGGGAAATAAGTATTTGATCCCCTATCGTTCAGCAGGATTTCTGGCTACTAGGTGTCTTTCATACAGGTAACAAGCTGAGATTAGAAGTCTCTTAAAGGGAGTGCTGCTAATCTAATTTTGTTACCTGTATAAAAGACACCTGTCCACAGGAGCAAACAAACAATCAGATTCCAAACTCTCCACCATGGCAAAGACCAAAGAGCTGTCCAAGGATGTCAGGGACACGATTGTAGACCTACACAAGGCTGGACTCAGCTACAAAACTATCGCCAAGCAGCTTGGTGAGAAGGTGACAACAGTTGTTGCAATCATTCGCAAATGGAAGAAACACAAAACAACTGTCAGTCTCCATATGTCTGGTGCACCATGCAAGATCTCACCTCGTGGAGTGTCAATGATCATGAGAACAGTGAAGAATCATCCCAAAACTACACAAGGATCTTGTCAATGATCTCCAGGCAGCTGGGAACACGGTCACCAAGAAAACAATTGGTAACACACTATGCCTACAAGGATTGAAATCCTGCAGTGCCCGCAAGGTCCCTCTACTCAAGAAAAGCACATGTCCAGGCCCGTCTGAAGTTTGCCACTGAACATCTGAATGATGCAGAGGAGGACTGGTTGAAAGTGTTGTGGTCAGATGAGACCAAAATCGAGCTCTTCAATCGAACTGTCAAACATGGTGATGGAAACATTCTGCTTTGGGGGTGTTTTTCTGCTAATGAGACAGGACAACTGCACCGCATCAAAGGGACGATGGACGGGGCAATGTACCGTCAAATCTTGGGTGAGAACCTTCTTTCCTCAGCCAGAGCATTGAAAATGGGTCGTGGATGGGTGTTCCAGCATGACAATGACCCAAAACACATGGCCAAGGCAACAAAAGAGTGGCTCAAGAAGAAGCACATTAAGGTTCTGGAGTGGCCTAGCCAGTCTCCAGACCTTAATCCAATTGAAAATCTGTGGAGGGAGCTGAAAGTTTGAGTAGCCAAACGTGAGCCACCAAACCTTAATGACTTAGAGAGGGATCTGCCAAGAGGAGTGGGCCAAAATCCCTCCTGAGATGTGTGCAAACCTGGTGGCCAACAACAGGAAACGTCTGACCTCTGTGATTGCCAACAAGGGATTTGCCACCAAGTACTAAGTCATGTTTTGTGAAGGGGGTCAAATACTTATTTCCCTCAAGAACATGCAAATCAGTGCATAATTTGTAAGACATGCATTTCTTTTCAATTTTTTGTTGCTAATCTGTCTCTCAGTGTTACAATACACCGAACATTCCATTTTTAGACTGATCATTTCTTTGTGAATGGGCAAACATTCAAAATCAGCAGGGGATCAAATACTTATTTCACTGTAAGTACCTAAACCTAACCTAAAGTAGGGACTGTTTGGGGCTAAAGTGGGACAGAAAGAAAAAAGTCCAAAAAGTGGACTGTCCTTTCAAGCCATGGATTGTTTGGAACTGTGTGGAGAGCTACGGTAATCATAACAATGAAAAAAGCTATACTTATAGATAAAGCAATCAGCAAAGCTAATGCTTCCAGCAGAAGGAGTGTTGGACCTCTGCAGAGAGACCACTGCTTCCACACAGGGGGCAAGGGTCCCACTCTGCAGCATGTTGCAGGGAACAGGTTTTTCTGCTCAGGATGGGACTGCTATCTAAGGACTCATTCACACTGGCAGCAGTCCTTGTCACCCCTAGGTAAAGTGATCTGTGGTGAAGTACTTTTCAGAGGCTGGTATAGCAGCGGCTGCCAGTCATAAAAGAGGCACTTGAATGCTCATTTATGGACGGCTTATATGTAAATACCCCTTATATGTAAATACACCTTATATGTAAATACATCAGGCAGCTGCTAGACAAACGATTGGCTCACGGTTGCAGCATGGTCCTATACACTTGAGTGGGTCATATTTGGTAGCAGTGCTGCCTGCTGAATTGTACAAAGTATATCATTTTTGCTGCAAGCTTTGCATATGTACAGCCCTGAGTGCCTGCATGTTTTATTTGGGTGGGCATTCGGGGGTGATAAAATTGTGACTCAATCACTTGTGTTTTATGCCTTCCCCCAAACCTCTCGTGTGGATGAGACCTAGAGAAAAATAACTATAAAAATTGTAATATTTTTAAGAACATGTTATTATTAGATAATATGTGATTGGCGTCAGACACAGGAGACGTATACACCATTTGATATTTCTAGACAGGCACCTGCAGTGATTAACATAATAGGTAGCTGAGAGTCACATTCAACATTTAAGCCACTGACTGACATCCACTGATATAAACAGTTAATTATCTGTCATCTGACTTCCAGCAGTTTTCTAGCTTGCAGGGAAGCTTGACATATTTTCATTTTGGCAATTTTTCTTTTAATAAAGGTACTAAGCACAAAACTATTCTTGAAGCACGAAGTGGTCTGGGCCCAATAAAGGCCTATCCTCGGCTTGGAGGGTTAAACAGGGGATCAACAGGAACGCTGGATTCCAACAACCAAGAGAGGACTTTTCACTGTGAGATCTGTAATGTCAGAGTCACCTCAGAAGGCCAGCTTAAGCAGGTATACAGTCTGCATTTATTACTATTTCTTTATTCCTTTATGCTCTGATGACTTTACCTCCATTCACCTTGAAGAGCACTGGGGGCTTGGGCAAAAACATCCAACCAGACTAGTCACCTTTTGTGTTCTGAAGTTATTATTATTATACAGTATTTATATAGCGCCAACAGTTAGCTCAGCGCTGTACATTACAATGGGGGACAATACATGAGACAGTACAATAACAATACAATGTGATACACGAGGGGTTCAAGGGCCCTGCTCCTTGAAGCTTACAATGTAGGAGGGAGGGGATAGTGGTACGGGAGGAAAAGCTGTGGGGGATGGAGTGGTAGGAAGAGTGGAGGAGATCGGCAATTAGCAGAGGGTGGGGTAGGCTTCCTTGAAGAGGTGGGTTTTCAAGGTGCGCCTAAAGGAGAGGGGAGTAGGTGAAAGTCTGATAGGGTAGGGAGTTACAGAGGATGGGTGATGCCCTGGAGAAGTCCTGGAGGTGGGCATGGGATGAGGAGACCAGGGAACTAGAGAGAAGGAGGTCTTGTGAGGAGCGGAGAGTGCGTTTTGGGTGGTTTTTGGATATTAGGTCGGTGATGTAGTTTGGGGCAGAGTTAAATAGCATGTGGATCTTTTTGACCACTCCATACAATATTTGAATCGTAAGATTTTTCACAGAGGATTTCCATTTAAAAAAAATTAAATGTAAAGTATTGGGTTTGCAATAGTTATTTCTTATTAAATGTTAAATATATTGTACTACACAGCAGTATGTTGTGTTTCAGTGACAAACCCTCTTCTACTGTGCTGTATGTCTGCATAGGATGAGGAGGATAGCAACACTTTCAGAGCTCCTAGTTCTACAGACTCAATGCCACTGCCCCTGAGTCTTTATGCCTGGGGGCAAGAAGGACTGCCTGATTACAGGACCTCTGTAATTGGCTGTCACAGCGGCACGTCTTCTTCCTATAATTACTAGAGACTGGGAGCACACCGTAAGCGGGCTCTTAGTACAGAAGCCTCGGCTGCCCAAGGATGCATATGTGTAGTAGAATTGTGCACAATGGAAAAAATTGTTTCGTGTTCGATTCATCCATTAAGTAAATCATTCTGTTTTTTCCTTTCATTTTGTTAGAATAGTTTTCAGAACTAATTTTATATTTTCGTATTCGTTGCATACGTTTGTTGTTCCAAATCGATTTGTATTTGCGGAAGTTATTTCAGAGGATTGGCTATATTAGTTTTAACACATTATTTTTTTTTTTTTGGGAGATTACGTATGCATTCTTAGTCATCCCTGCTAGTCCAACCCACAAAGAGAAATGGAATGCTGAGTGGACAATATTAACTGGAGTCGCGAATATCCAAAAGTATCGAATGGAACAAAATTCATTTTGGATTAATTCGTTATGTTATGATTTAGAGATCCTGATGCCATTCAACCCAAACACAATAAGTAGGAATCATCTTATTTCACTTTTTATACCATACTGGCCTGCCTCGCCGCTGGCTATCCCTGCTTCAGTCGATCCTGAATATGGCAGCAAGACTCATTCACCTTTCCAACCGCTCCATCTCCACCACCCCCCTCTGCCAATCCCTCCACTGGCTTCCGATTGCGCAACAGATCAAAATCCTAACACTGACGTACAAAGCCGTCCACCACACTGCCCCGAACTACATCACTGACCTAATATCCAAGTACCGCCCAGCACGCACACTCCGCTCCTCACAAGACCTCCTTCTCTCTAGTTCCCTGGTCTCCTCCTCCTATGCCCACCTCCAGGACTTCTCCAGGGTGTCACCCATCCTCTGGAATTCCCTGCCCCAACCCATCAGATTATCACCTACTCTCCTCTCCTTTAGGCGCACCCTGAAAACCCACCTCTTCAAGGAAGCCTACCCCGCCCCCTGCTAACTTGCCGACCTCCTCCACTCCTCCTACCACTCCATCCCCCACAGCTTTCTCTTCCTGTGCCACCATCCCCTCCCTCCTAGATTGTAAGCACAAAAGAGCAGGGCCCTCAATCCCCTCATTTTTTGCATTGTATTGTTATTGTTCTGTCACATGTTCTGTCCTCCTTTGTAATGTACAGCTCTGAGCGAACTATTGGCGCTTTATAAATACTGTATAATAATAATAATAATAATAATACTGTATTTATTGCAATACGTTTCCCTTTCATATTTTTCTATATTCGTAAAAAACATTAATGCAAAAATAATTTTCTGATTATCCAAGAGTCAAAGACTACAGTGCCGCTCTCATCTGAATAAAACAAAAAGATCAGAATCAATTCGGAACATTTATGTTGTTACGTAATTTAGGATGCTTCAAATATTACAAAAGGCCCAAACTATTGCATCATGTCATCAGAATGAAACAAATGAATATGAATTAATTTGTTGGTTTTCTTGTAATTTATATCAAATTCGTTGAAATTCATTACTGTTGTGATTTGGAGATTCGGATGCATCCAAATCTTCGATTTAATAAAAATTTTGTCCAAATTTAAATTTGCAACTAAACGAATCACATGTCTAATGTGCAGCATGTGGACATTAAAGTCCACCCTCTTTGGTGCCACATATATGCATTACGTGGGTGGCAAGAGGTTAGAAAGTTGCAGCATAGTGCACTAGATGACTATGTAAGCTAAAGTACTATACAGTATATAACAAGTATCGACATACAGATTTTTTTCTTGAAAACTTCTCACTGTTAGTTCTTTTCCCTTTTGATTAAATCCATTGATAGTGTTACAGTATGTAAAACACTGGATAGTCTCTAGTTCTAAATTTTCAGTGTTATGAGAATTATCCTTTATAAAATCTCTGCTTTCCAGAAGGAGATAATGACCCTTTTCCATATGTTTTATTTAGTGCTTGGCGAGGGAACACTAGAACATGACTGTAAGAAGAGATATGCATTGATTTTGAGATCAGCCAAATCGCCAGTTTTTGATTACAGATCAGTTTGGTGTGCAGAGAACTCAATAATGTAATAATTGTAGTTTATAAAATTGCATGATCCTTCACAACCTGGACAAGTCTTATATTCGATGTCTAACTGGCCATGTAAAATTAGAGAATATCACAAAGAATCAATGTGAGAAACCTGCAGCTAATTTGTCATGTTTTACATGTTTTAGCAAGTTGTGATTTGTGCAGGGTATATATATAAACTACATAATACATTTGTGTTTCTGTGTCAGCACATCTCAAGTCGCAGACATCGTGATGGAGTGTCAGGGAAACCCAACCCGCTACTGAGTAGGCACAAGAAACATCAAACCCTTCAGGAACTTACGGTTGGTATCCTCAAGACTTCTTTTAACATTCTGGCACCGTACTGAGGAAGTCACCCTTATTATTCTAATCTAACCATGCATGGTTTACCCTTTATACCATGACCTCCTGTAGACCAGCAGCCTGCAAATTCAGCACTTTATAACCTATAGCCCTTCCCAGGCTTTTGGTGAGCAGTTAAAAAGCGTTTAAGAGCATCTGAGACCCATCCTGAAAGTCTAAAAATCTTCATAAATGGCTATTACATCAACCATAGTGGTGAAGTGCATTTGGAAACCACATACTAACCACTTAGTGTTCACACTGTTTCTTTCCAGTGGGGATGTTTGTTGTTTCAGTGCATGCAATTAGGAATGGCTGACAATCACATAGCACTTCAGCAGGTGCCACATTAAGCATCTGAAAAATATCCACTTGTTAACCTATTAATTGCGCACTGTCCAAAAGAATTTGTAATTCTACAGGACTATAGATTCAATTAAATCAGTTAAACTTGTTTATCGAGAAAACAAACAAGTGAGAGAAAGCAAAGAGTATATTGTTACATAATATAGTCAATGTATGCAATGCAAAATAAAATCTTGGCATTCTACAAAAGAAACATTACTTAAAGCGGAGTTCCACCCAAAAGGAGAAGTTCTGTTTTAAAGATTGGTCCCTCGCACCCCATTAAGGATTGGCACCTTTGGGGAGCGGGGGCAATTGCCTAGGTGATCGGAAGCGGAGGTTGTCTTCCTACCCTCCCTCCCCGAAGTCTTGTGGGACACGTAACAGCTCCCAGAAGACGACGGGGTCAATCAGGAAGTGCAGCGCTACTCGTGCATGCGCAATGGGCACCCGGCTGTGAAGCCGCAAGCTGTCACAGCCGGGCGCCCACACTGAAGATGCCGGCTTCCTGGAATACAGGACGGCCGGTGAAACGGGCTGCGGCGGGGGCAACGCAGGATCATGGGACAGGTAAGTGGCTGTAAGCGCCTCCCTGCCCTCCATATAGTAATATGACGGACACAAGGTGGTTCTCTTGTTCTGGGAGGACGTCATATGGCGTCCTCCCATTCTAACCGCGCATGCACGGCTCCTGGAGCGTGGCGATCGGCGATCCCTCGGATACAGCGGATCACCGATCACGGAAAGAGCCGAAGTCGTTGGCTCGGTCATGTGATCAGCTGTGTCCAATCACAGCTGATCACATGTAAACCGGGAAATGCCGGTTATCGGCATTTCTCTCCCCATGAGCTGTCACACTGACAGCTCAAGAGGAGAGGAGAGCCGGTAATCAGCATTCCTCGGAGGGGACATGTACACTGATCATCAGGCACTGATGATCAGTGTACCCAGATGATCTGTGTAGCCCCAGCAGTGCCACCTGTCAGTGTCCATCAGTGCCAGCTCTTAGTACTCATCCATGCCACCTGCCAGTGCCACATGCCACATTTCAGTACCCATCAATGTCACATATCAGTGTCCATCTGAGCTGCCTTTCAGTGTCACCCATCAGTGCCAGTCAGTGCCACCTATCAATGCCAGTCAGTGCCACCTATCAATGCCAGTCAGTGCTACCGATCAGTGCTGCCAATCAGTGCCACCTATCAGTGCCAGTCAGTGACGCCTATCGGTGCCAGTCAGTGCTGCCTATAGTGTCATGAGTGCTGCCTTTCAGTGCCCATCAGTGATGCCTGTCAATGCCCATCAGTGCCACCTACCAGTGCCTCCTCATCAGTGCCACCTATCAGTGTCCATCAGTGCAGCCTATTAGTGCCCATCACTGCAGCCTCATTAGCGCACATCAGTGAAGGAGAAAAATCACTTATTTACAAAATTTTATAACAAAAACTAAGAAAAACATTTTTTTCCCACAATTTTCAGTGGTTTTTGGTTTGTTTAGGAAAAATAAAAATCCCAGATTAAATACCACCAAAATAAAGCCCTATCTGTCACAAAAAAATGATAAAAATTTTATATGGGTACAGTGTTGCATGACCGCGCAATTGTCATTCAAAATGCAACCGTGCTGAAAGCTGGAAATTGGCCTGGGCAGGAAGGGGGTATAAGTGCCCTGTAGGCAAGTGGTTAAAAGTCAGCAGCTACAGTTTTTATAGCTGCTGACTTTTATTTTTTTACAGAGTGAGTGGAACTCCGCTTTAATTTATGGTGTTTTTTAAATTTGTTCCATATTCAGAACTTCAATACCTGGAAAGATTTTAAAAATATTTAAAATTCTATCTTTTTTCTAACATATTTTGGCACATACAGTGTGTATAGAATTTGGCATACTGTATATCCAACTGGTATTTTATATGAATTGTCAAGCAATTTGAATTTGTATCTAAGAATGTATTTTGCCTAAATCTGAACTCCAGGCAGAAAGCTAAATACACAGATGAAATGCATATATGAGATCTGTTTTACCTGCCGAAAGGATTTGTGTTTTTGTCAACCCAGTTCTCATATTTACACCTCTTTGCCACATGGCATAATCTAGCCTTAAAGGGCAGGAGACCTGCTTTTTCTTTGCTGCAGTTTCACTTTCACTTGCAAGTTTGTTTCCTTATCCTTTGACTGAACAGTGAAAGGCAAAACAGCAGTCTGAAGAGCTCATCACTTTGTCACTCTGCTCTCCTTCCCTATAACCTGTCTTTTACACTACAACTCTCCTCTAGTCTGAACTCTGCCGTTCAGGGATTAAAAAAGATTGATAACAAGTTGAATTCAGGTACTTAAACTGGTTGCATTAAAGAAATACCTTTAATGAGATATTAATAAAACAGAGCTGCATTAATGTGTGTAATTTATGTCTGCCTTGATTTCGATTTAAAGTGGTTCTAAAGCCTTAAGGCAGTTGTGTCAAACTGGGGGCCCTCCAGCTGTTGCAAAACTACAAGTCCCATCATGCCTCTGCCTTTGGGAGTCATGCTTGTAACTGTCAATCTTGCAATGCCTCATGGGACTTGTATTTTGACAACAGCTGGAGGGCTGCCAGTTTGACACCTGTGCGGTAAGGTTTTTTTACCTTTATGCATTCTATGCATTAGGGTGAAAAACCATTGGTGCTGCAGCTCTCCCTTCAGCCCCCCCCCTCTTTTCTTACCTGAGCCCAATCCAGTCCAGCGATGTGCATGAGAGCAGCGGCTCTAGCCGCGGTCTCCCTCCTCATTGGGCAGATTGATTGCTGCGAGAGCCGTTGGCTCCCGCTGCTATCAATCAATTGCTGTGACATGGGAACGCTCTGGGGTTTATTTAGTAAAGCTGGAGAGTCCAAAATCAGACTCCCTTCTGCATAGAAACCAATCAGCTTCTAACCTCAGCTTGTTCAATGAAGCTTTGGCAATGAAACTGGAAGCTGATTGGTTTCTATGCAGAAGGGAGTCTGGACTCTCCAGCTTTAGTAAATAAACCCCTCTGTGCCAATGGGTATGGGTACCCCCATGGAGAACAGCTTTTCATGGGGGCACCTGCCTAAGAGGAGGGGCCTGGTGCCACTGGGGGACCACAGAAGAGGAGGATCGGGATTGCTCTGTGCAACTTCCATCTCTATCATTATATATATATCGTTTTTGCTTACACTGATATTTGTTCTAATTTTTTTGACAGACAAGCCTGATGTTTCCAAAGGACCTTCCAAAAACCCTTTCAGCAGGGCTTCTTCCAAGTCCACTTGCAGTGGCGATGGCAGCTGCTGCTGTGTCTTCTCCATTAAGTTTACGTCCAGCTGCAACTCCTCCTCTTCTTCAAGCTCCACCCTTGACACACCATATGCTTCGACCAGCTCCGGGGCCCATCAGAACTGCACATGGCACTATACTTTTCTCCCCTTACTGAGGAGATTCCTCTCCTATCACATTATCTCACTAATCCACTGGAACCTGAACCTGTACCTAGACAACCAGGCCAGGACTTGACCAGCTGCCTCCAGCTCATCCCAAACTCTCCCCTAGGAAATATTTAGTAACTGGAATACTTTGGCAACCCATGATCCCTGCTTTTCCCAGGACACAAGCAGCAAAAGAGCCACGTGTGGATTTCTGAAGGTCCTGACAGATCAGGTTTCGGCCCAAATGATGGACACTTTGGTCAGTGGAAAGATAGCATTGTCTCAGGGTCTGCTTCAAGCAATGGATAACCTTGTGGCATTTTAGATTCTTATTGGGTTAAATGGCCCAATAGACTGTGACTATGAAATAACCAGAAGACATGCTGGATAATAGAGACTAGTTCCTGAGTGCTTGAGGGGTGTTTGTGCTGCTGTTTAAATAAGCCACCTCTTTCATATCGAGGAGGATGAAAGTCAGCATCTTCTGATTGGCTCTTATGTTCTATAGCATTCTTTGCTCCAACCTTGGCTCATACGATGTTTCGATTTGTTTCTGTTCTGGACAGAAATTGCTTTTTTTTTAAAAAAAAAAAAAAAACAATAACTTCAGGGAAACAGCATATGTTCTTGATTTACAGTTACTAAATCTTCTCATACATATTGTAACCATTGCTCTACAAAAAATGTCTTAGTACTGGACTGTCTAACGACTGGGGAAAAAGAGGACTTGTGTAAACTTTAAATGTACAATAGTAGTGAAAACTTCCTATGCAGTTCCCACTTGGACCACAGGGTGTTAACACTGAACCATTTAGCCATAGGTATGTTTTGTCCCACTTAGACATTCTTTGTGGTGCAAACTCTCCAGACCGAAAGCAGGTGGCTAGTGGTGCTCCAGTTGTTCCCAGCATGCCCTTGCAGCCAGTTATTAGCTGGACATGCTAGTAATTGTGCTATTATAACAGCTGGAGAGTTGCAGCTTACATAAACCTACTATAGGCTGTAGATTTTTATAGTTTGTTTTAATGTGCCCTCCAACAGTGGAGGAGAAGTACTGTATAAGTACTGTAGCTAGTGCAATTAATATCTATATATATATATCACTTGTTTCTACAAGCCACAATAGGCCACATAACAGAAATATAAAAAAAGGAAATATGGAAACCGTCACAGAATGTCAAAAGAGAGTAGTAACTAACAAAAACGATATATATATTACAGTATGTGGCCATCGATACATTAGGTAACTTGCAATTAAAGCGATGGTGTCTGTGTACGCAGATTCCTGTCTACTATCTCCCCATATGGTATACCAGACTCGTATAGGTCTGTGTAGAAATTCCAAGCTGCAGATTGGTGTTAGGTAGGTGTAACTGGCATGCTATATTTTGCTCCTTCAGATCCCTTGATTTGCACTTTGTGGAGTTCCTTTCTAAGGATTATAGGATACCAAGTGCAATGGCACAGTCATAGAAGCCTCAGCTATGCTGGAAGTTCAGTTCAATGAAACACAGAACTTATTCAATAAATAGCCTTCGGAGAACCACTTGAGTCAGGAGTAGAACTCATGGCTAAACTAAAACAGTTCTTAGATTTCTGTTGCTAATATTAGATATACCTACTTATGCCCAGTTTGAATGAACTGGTCACCAACCTGGGCAATACAGGCTGAGCATATGATGAAATAATAGAAAGGGGCAGCTTACCATCTGTGTAACTGTATGTCAAAATAATCTGATTCTGCCCATTACTACGCTGAGCAATAAGGAGGCTTGGGAAAAATGAAGGGGTGGGGCGACATTTACAGGAAAAGTTATAATCTGACTATAATTTCAATTACTTTTATCTGCAACTACTGATTGTTGTGGCATGCAGTTATGAAATTTCATCCTATGCTTATAATTTTCCAGGTTTGTTACAAGTTTATTTTAAGTCTTGGATTGATGTTATACCATGGTGCAAAGAGTGATGACTTTAAATAGACCAACTTGAAATTAGCTTTGATCATTTTAAAGCACCTCTGTGGTAGTGTTGGCATTAACTCCTGGACTCTTGATGTCATTGTGGTGGGTATCCCTACCAAACACTGAGACTGCCAAGCATTGTGCACTGCAATACTGCTCAAGCCAGATTGCATGCTTGGCCAGGCCATGATGAGAGGCAGGGGTGTAGTAAGAATTTACTTGGCCAGTCCAAGAAATAACAAAAACTTATCACCACTATATTTAAGGATGATGAGTTCTTAAATTAAAGTATATATTTTTAATGAAAATATACTATCTGCTTGTGGTCCATCATGTAGAAACAGGGCTGGATCTCCCTTCCTACAGCCGCATGGTTTTATACCTAATATTCTATGCTAAACCGTCTGAAATAATGATATTCTATGAATGTATTATTTCAGACCGGGATGGATGCAAACCCTATAAGCACTGTAAACATGAATGGAAGAAAGTTCTCTAAAAGTTGTAAACAATAGTAACATTTAACTGGTTACTACAGTTGTTTGTCTTTTTGAGAAACACATTTTGAGATCCCCATAACAGGGACAGTTGTGAGTCCTGTAAAATAGTAACCTGACATTTAGCTCCATATGTTTTAGGCACTTCTGATCTGTTAGTGGTCCTTGTACAATGTTACTGAATGAGATACTCTGATTAGCAAATAGGTGAAATGTATAAAACAGAGAGCAGGAAACACTTTCCTGTAGTCTGGAGTGCACTGAAAGATAACTCATTTTACCTGAACTATGTCCAACACACAGTCATCTACCATCTACCCCATGTTATTCTCTGCCCGTTTAGCCAAGCTAGTCCTGCCTTATGTTATTGATTTCAGGAGAGGACCTGAAACTTGTTGTCTCTGCTGAGGTCACATGATTCTAGAATGAAGTACGTTAACCACTTTAGAAACTACTTGCACAAATTATTTGTTGTCTGCAGAAGAGGCTTGTGTATTTTGACAATCGCTTTATTTATTTGAGAGTTGAATTCTTCCTGAAGACTATGCAATTCTTCCTGTGACACTTGTGTATTTTTTTGTCTCCATAACTGACATTTATGTGCCGGTACATCACCCCCCAGCCATCACAGATGCTTGTGTCAGTGGATATAAGCTAAGGGAGGGCTGGTATTGTGGCATTACCACTAAATGTATGAAAAGTAAATAATGTGTACTTAACATGTACTGACTCTGCCAGCTGCTATAACAACTAATTGTAGTCATTAGAATGACATGTAGCAATAAGTTAGGGACAAGATGAAGCCATTGTATGACCACTGTCAAACAGCCCTTTAATAGCCAAAGAGCTCATAGTTCCAAACCTGATGTGATATTGAGAATCAGTGCACACTCACCAGTTTCCCTCTGTAACAAAAATAAAAACAATAAAGTAGATGTCTTATTCCAGTTTACTTACTTGTGTTCCAATATTGAGTGCTCTTATTGTATGTGACATGTCTGTTGTTATTTCCAACTTATTCAGTAATAGATTGAAATGCGATAAGGTTGCTCAGAAGGGTAAACTACTCCAGAATTTAGTGCACAAATATTTGAAGGTCTCTTTCTCTCTATTCTTTCTACTCTTTTCAGGGGCATCCCCCCTCTTGGTAGAGACTAGAGACACAGGCACTTCTGGGACTCATAACAGGGCAAAACCCACTTTAATAGCACTACCAAAGTCACAGAAGGAGTTGAACAACAGAAAGTCAATTCCTGGCCTCTACTTACTATATCTCCAGATACTTGGATACCTACTGTCCAATATTGTCTAGACACTGTACCATGAATCGCCAGGCCAGATCCTCAGTGCACCCCCTTTTTTTACTCAAAATTGCTTACAGGAAAAAATAGGTCCTCAGCTCCCACTGAGCTGGGACCTCAATGAACTCTCTGCAATAGGCCCCCCAGCTGCCACTGAGCTGGGACCTCAATGAACTCTCTGCAATAGGCCCCCCAGCTGCCACTGAGCTGGGACCTCAATGAACTCTCTGCAATAGGTCCCCCAGCTACCACTGGGACCTCAATGAACTCTCTGCAATTGGTCCCCCAGCTACCACTGGGACCTCAATGAACTCTCTGCAATATGTCCCCTAGCTACCACTGGGACCTCAATGAACTCTCTGCAATAGACCCCCTAGCTCCCACTGAGCTGTGACCTTGATTAACTCTGCAGACTTCAGCTACCCTGCCAGAAGGGCAGCAGTCCTCCGGGATGGGATCTCCTCCTCCTGGACAAGAACCCTGCTGCTCCAAACCTCAGACTATTTATGTGTTCTCCCTTCACTTTCTGGGCACACCTCCCAAGGGATTGGCTAGAGTCCCATAAAAATTCAAGCTCAGGATCTTCCTTTTTCAGCCTACTACATTGCAGAACCTACTAGAAGGCAGGGAAAAGTAGTTGAGCCTGCAGTTAGCAAGGCCCAGAGCAGGCAAAAACAATCACACTCTGCTCCACTAACTACAGAGGAGCCAAAAAGTCTAAATTTACCTTAACCTCAATAGCAACCTAATCTAGGAAGGTGCTGCATTTTAACCACTTGCCCTCCAGAAGATTTGCCCCCCTTCCTGACCAGGCCATTTTTTTTTGTTACGGCGCTGCGTTACTTTAACTAACAATTGTGCGGTCATGCAATCTTCTTTTCCCCACAAATAGACCTTTCTTTTAATGGTATTTGATTGCCTGTGCGGTTTATATGTTTTGCGCTATAAACAAAAAAAGACCGACAATTTTAAGAAAAAAAAAAGCAATATTTTTTACTTTTTGCTATTAAACATTTCCAATAAAAAACAAATTTGTTATACATTTAGGCCAAAATATATTCTGCTGCATGTCTTTGCTAAAAAAAAATCCCAATACTTGTAAATTAATTGGTTTATGTGAAAGATATAGCGTTTACAAATGGCGTTATATATACTCAATTTGTTTTTTTAATTTGTATTTTTTTTACTAGTAATGGTGGCGATCAGCGACTTATAGCGGGATTGTGACGGGCATTCTGACACTGGG